CAAGTGAACTGGACTGATCGATAAACCGATTCACGGTCCACTCGATTGAACTGTTCTGTCCAGTCCAATTTTGAAAATAATGAATAAATCATGATTATTGTTATTTATATATTTAAGAATAAATCATGATTATTGTTATATATATATATTTAAATTATAATATAATCAATATTTTCATCATGCATCGCACGAGCCAATTATTAGTAATTAAAATTGGAAGAATATAAAAATAATAAATTATTGATTGATAAAATTAATAATTAGAAATATATGAGTGAATGAAAAATATTTTTACTAAACGAAATTATATTTTTTATTTATTTTTTAATTATATTACTGGGATTTATAAAAGAAAAGTGATATGAAGTGAATAATATTTTGTGTAATTTTTTTTTGTTCCATCATCACCTTTTTCTCATTTTCCTTTAATTTATTAGTATGATTATTTAAAATAAAAATCAAATACTGTTGGACGATTTAGGATTAATGTTCAAAGATTAATAAATTTGAAACTATCACTATATTTTTTTGCAAGATATTAAAAGATAATTAATATTTAATTATTGGAATATCATGTATGTCAAACCTACATCTTATACTTTCTAATCATCATGTTATTATATTAAAATTGTTGTACTGAGGAGACTAATTCATCAATTTTAAAGTGATGTGCGACCCAAGTTCTTGTTAGGATCAACAACTCAAAACCCAGTTCTCCAACAAGCCTAATATACAAGCCCAAATGGGAATCCACTCTAAAACCAATTGGCAATAGGAGTAGCCCACCAAGCTTATATATTAGACTTGGAACCTTTAATTTTCCGATGTGGGATTGGGTTTGCACACCATGCAAACCTCCCCTTAAACACAAGACTACATTGGGCCTCCCCTTGAACGAAATTCATACGATCCGACCATCTTGTACCGCCGTTATCACCCACGGAACCCGCCGCCTGACCACACCTTTTCGCCAGGAAGACTTTCGACACAAGGTACACGGATCTACTGGCCCTTTCGGCTCCGCGGGGAACATGCCACGTCATCCACATCACACCTTTTCGCCAGAAAGACTTTCGACACAAGGTACACGGATCTACCGGCCCTTTCGGCTCCGCGGGGAACATGCCACGTCATCCACATCGCAACTGGGCTACCAACCATGACTCTGATATCAATTGTTAGGATCAACAACTCAAAACCCAGTTCTCCAACAAGCCCAACATACAAGCCCAAATGGGGTTCCATTCTAAAACCAATTGGCAATAGAAGGTGTAGTCCACCAAGCTTATATATTGGACTTGAAACCTTTAATTTTCCGATGTGGAATTGGGTTTGCACACCATATAGTTCTAACTGTTCAAAAAAACTGAAAAAAGAAAAATTAAAACATGTAAAAAAAATTATATTTAAAACTTAGAAATTAGTGCGTGTTTTTCTTTTTTAGAATCCAAACAAAAACCACACCTACCACCTCATTTTTCATCTGTCTTATAAATCAGCCGAGATACACGATAAAAAGTGAGCTAGAGAAAGATATCACGAAATTTACGTGTTCGTCTGATTAATTCACCATTTGTATTTTATTTATTTTTCTATTAGTTGCAACTTACTCAATTTTGATAACTTGAAATTGTCTATATAGTGAGATTGGATCACATTGTTATCACAAGATAGTAAAAAAAATAAGAATAAATATAATTGATTAAACCAATGGTATGAATGAAGTGATGCAGAATAATAATAATAATAATAATAATAATAATAATGATAATAATAATAATAATAAGCAAGAGGGTAGGTCCAAGTCTAAGTATAAAAGAGGTTATTATTATTATTATTATTATTATTAGTAGTAGTAGTAGTAGTTAGCTTGGAGAATAAGTTAGGATTTTGTTTAAGAGTCTTATTTAAAGGGCTCTCGTGTTTTGTTATTAGGGGAGCTGATTTATGAATGAAATATGAAATGATTATGAGTTATATCGAGAGAGTATCTCGTTTATCCTTCCCATATGTACGCTTCCCTACATCAGTTTGTATCAGCTGTCATTATGATTCGCGATGTCGCCGGGACGACAAGATGCCGCAAACAAACGACGTGATGCAACCTTCAACGATCAGTTTCAACGGATCGACTACCGATTTCAACAGTTGGACATGCGTTTCATGGATTGGTTTGCAGATCTTTCGACGGGGATCGAAGATTTGCGTTTGACGCTTAACAACATGGTCTGGGATTTGCAGATGAACCGTGCCGCCGGCGACCAGAGTGTGCGCGGGGGAGTTTACGAAGGAAGCGAAGATTGTGGTCAAGGCGGGGCGCCCCGTTGGCAATCTCCACAACCGCCGCCCGACGATGCAGACGGCGAGGAGACCATACCGGAGGTGGATCCCTTCGAAGAGTGGCCACCTCCACCCGTCGAGATTGAGCTCGTTGCTGCGCATGACGACCAAGACGTGCAGCAACAGAGTCTGATTAATGCAGCTAACGACCCTGATGGTACGGGCGCACCCATTCAACCCTTTATTCCATGTAGAGGTATTTAATTACCATAATGCAACTAACAACATTTTATTTTTAAATTTGTATTTTACATAGTTTTTTGTATGGTTATTTATGTTATATGTGGTTTCCAACTATTGAATTTGTTGTTAGTAACCCGGCGTAGTTCGATTGGTAATTCAAGATAGCCTAAAGGTGCAACATTGACTGACGACAACGTGCATGAAGGGGATTCGAGTCATGGTTCACGTTCAATCAATCATTGGCGCAATGCGCGATGTCTCGCCAGAGCAATTGACGGGTCAGATTTAACTAACTCCCACTCCCTAACGACCCTACCACTGCATTCCTTACTAGGTCATTTATACGACCTCCAAACATGATGACCCCACATCTGGCCGAGCTCTCAGACGAGCTCAACCCGCCACCACAATACCGTACCTCGAGTTGCTATATCGATGATATACTAGAACTAGGACATAACCTTCCATCTCATGCATGGCCGCATTGCCAACAAGCAGTATTTCGGACCCAAAAATCGCCACGCCATACCGTCATGGCGGTACCGCGCGCCATGGCTGCTATTCGATAACATTGGTTTTGATTAGATGCACTCTTTATATTCAAATGATTAAAGTTAGCCGTTTAGCGGGTACTTAAATGTTAGTTGTGGGTATGTAAAGGTGAAAGAAACATATTTGACATTAGATTCTTAAATAAGAATAACTCTCTTTATTATAGGAAAAGATTACAGTCCCGTCACATAATGATCGTGAGAATTTTTAACCATGGATTATCTACAATAACTAACGTACATGTATATCTAAAGGCTAATAATCTTCACGGAATCATTCCGTGACGAGACTATAGTCTTTTTCTTTATTATAATAAGAAGAGTGTTCATAATAACAACTAAAACAATGCACCACATGTGTGCCTTGACTTCGACTCCGGCCACACACGCTCCCATTTTTAAAATACATAAACTTTTGAAATTGTTATAGAATGCAAATTTTTAACTCGGATTAAACACAAATTCTACAGATTCAACGGATGGTTCCATTGTGGAGCCATCCATAACTTTGATACACTCGTACCTGTTCAAATAGTATTTATTGTAGGATGCCAATTCATTATTTGTGATTAATTATTGATGGTTCCATAAATTGTACCATCTGATGACTCGATAGCAAAAACTTTCCGATAAAAATACATAAACTTTTGAAGTTGTTATAGAATGCAAATTATTAATTCCGATGGCATGAGAGTTCAAAAGGTTGCAATGTTTATGTAAAGACAATTAAATTAATGGAATCATGTAATGATTCTAACGAATTAATTTATTTTGTCTTTAACACATTAACAACTTTTATAGATGAATTTCCGTAATCACACTACATTTTGGAGAATCTCTAATAAAATTTTCTCCCTGGAATTACCTAATAATTCGTAATAAAATTTGCTTTTTGGCAAACAATGACATACCGTTAATTACGAAAATTTCATTACAGGAATTTGACGTAGGACTTGAACCACGCTCGCTAAGCAGCATGACCGCTTCACGCGCATATTAGCAACAAAATCTATCATTTTTCATGAATAAAATTATTTTTAATCTGATTAAAAAAAATTGAAACTACAATGATCATAAAATCAAATGAAATCTATATGTATATATAATTGCTGGCAGAGCAATAAATAAAACTTAATTAATAAAATCTTTACAAATTTCTCGCTCATTTTTTCAATTAATGTAGAAACATTATATTTTACATTAATAAAGTGTAATGACAATTTTAAACTAATTTATTATATAATATTACTACTAATACTAACTGATTATAATTTTACATTAAATAGTATGTGGAAGTTACATACTTATAAAAAATTTTATTGCAATTTTTTCTTTAAAATACTTTTTCTAAAATTAAATATATTTTCGTCTTTTTAAGCGATTTTATCTAATGAGTGTTCTAATTATACACCTTAAAATCACATAAACAACTGCTATAACAATAATAAAAATAATTATAATACTTTTATAACTAATTAATGGTATGGTCCCTTTAAATTATAAATTATATTGTCCATTAAATTTTATGACATCAATAAAAATTCATACGTAAGTTAAATAATTTATATTTACATTATACATTTGTATGTAGTCAAAATTTAAAATGTAATACAATTACTATCTTTTTAAAAATTTAAATATTATATACATACATATTATATATAAATTTTTATTTTTCTTTATGCATGTCACATGATGAATACTAGTAAGTATAATTATATAAACCAAAGTTTTTTTTTTTTAAAAAAAAAATACTTTTCTGAAGTGCGTGTGATAAAATCATAAAATTAAATTTACTGAAAAGAAATATATGACGTCACCTCTACTACACACCTAGCACAAATCGCGTGCTTTCGAAGCCGTTATAAATACCCCCACTCCACACTCCCACTCACCACACAGTACACACAGCACACTTTCTCTTTCATGGCTACCTCACCCTCCTCCGCCTCCGCCGCCGCCAAGGTCGACCCCGCCGTCTGGCGCGCCGTCGTCAGCTCCTCCGTCGAGATCCCGCCGGTTGGCTCCCACGTCTACTACTTCCCGGAGGGCCACCTCGAGCACTCCGGCTCGCCCCCCTCCTCCCTCCGTAATTACAGCTTTGCCCTCTCCCGCCCCTTCATTCCCTGCCGCCTCCTCTCCGCCCGCTTCCTCGCCGACCCTCCCGCCGACCAGCTCTCCGTCCAGATGCTCCTCCAACCCCTTGACCCACGCTCCTCCTCCTCCGCGGCCGCCGCCACCGCCGGCGTCCCCGACGATGACGTGGTCTCGTTCGCGAAGGCCCTGACGCCCTCCGACGCCGGCGGCGGCGGCGGGTTCTCCATCCCCAAGTTCTGCGCGGAGATGATCTTCCCGCCTCTGGAACAACCCTCCGGCCAGCGGCCGCCGAACCAGGGCTTGACCGTCCGGGACGCCCGCGGCCGCCCCTGGGAGTTCCGGCACATCTACAGGGGCACCCCCCGGCGGCACCTTCTGAGCACTGGGTGGAGCCGGTTCGTTAAGGCCAAGCAGCTCGTGGCCGGAGACGTCGTCGTCTTCGTGGGCCGGCGCTCGACCGGCGAGGTCTTTGCCGGCGTGAGGAAGGCCAGGCGGTTCACCGGCGGCAGGGACGGTGAGCTTCGCGCCGGGGCCCGCGAGGCGGTCCGGAGGGCGGCGGCCGGGATGGGTTTCGAGGTTGTCTACTATCCGGAGTTGGGCTTCCCGGACTTCGTGGTGAGGGCAGAGAAGGTGATGGAGGGGTTACGGGCCGGGTGGGCTCCCGGAATGCGGCTGAGGATGGCGGCCGACAGCGATGACTTGGCACGGGCGACGTGGATTCAGGGGACGGTGGTGGCTGCCACGTCATCGTCGGGCAATTGGCTCGGGTCCACGTGGCGCATGCTTCATGTAGTTTGGGATGTACCCGAGAGCTTGTCGAGCCGAGTGTGTCCGTGGCAAGTCGAACTCATCTCGTCAACCGGTCTGCATATTTTCCCGCCACTACCCAAGAGGCTCAAATTGAGGCATGACAGCTCATATATTCCATTACTCGGTGGCACACAGGGAGCCAGGCGGGATCACGTGCGCAGGATCGGGAAGACATCATGTGACCTAAGGGTGAATGAGCATCAGGGTCTTGGCCCGCCACCTGTCTCGACGGTCCTGAAGCTCGGGAGGTCGTGCCAGAGCGTTTTGCCGCCGGTCGTGCGTATGTGTGGTGGTGATCTTCAGGCTGGCTGCAGTTCGGCTTTCCGGTTGTTCGGAAAGGTTATTGAGACGCGGGCAGGGTTCGGTGGTTGTAGTGGTTCCAACTGCATTGTGAGTTGTACGTGTGGTTCGGATTGATTTTTCTTTTTTTCCTTGTGAGCCTGAGAGGAAGCAGCTTGGTGGTGGTTCTTTGGTGAGAGTATGTATGTTTGTAGCATCAGAGAGAGTTCTTGAGCAGGAGTTAGTTGTAAGAACTTTTCCTTCTATTAGTTTTTTTTTTTTTTTGGGGGGGGGGNTGATTGTTTATTGGTTATCGACTATGAATCAAGCCGCTAGCAAGTGCTCAAATCAAAAGCTCAATTGGAGCTCAAGTTTGACAAAAGGCGTATCGAATTTGAGCACCTTAAATTCAAACTCGAGTTTGTATATTACAAGTACAAATGCTCGACGAACCGCGTAAATATAAATATGGTTATAACCCAAATATCCCTAATACAAGCTAATTTCTATTCAAACTTGATAAAAATGAATAGTACAGTCGTATTGCAAATTCGAGCTTAACTCCAACTGACATTCAAACTGATGAAACTCAAATCAATCTCCAATACTCATATATTTTTGCCGTCTCCTGTCGAGCCTAACCTTAAAAAATCGAGCTAGAACAACAGTAAAAAGGAAACTAAACCTAGCTCAATAAGATCAATGCTCAACTAGATTGTTTGCATCAGTAACGGAAAACATAGCACAGTATGTACATAATTTTATTCACCTATTACAATCACAAACCCACACTTCCCACATTATTATCTCCAACTCCAAACACACACTCCTTAACTAAATAGGCTGCGGCCTTGTCTGAACAACAAACACCTCCCCCCCAACCAAACACCCCTCCACATCCTGCGGCCCTCCAAACTTCCCTTCCAAAAACACCCCCACCGACCCCAGCCTCCTCCCCACCCCCTCCCTCAAA